AATGCCTCGCTTCTTTTGAGCTTCGCCATCTGATGCTCAGTAAAGACCTAAATAACAGATTTATACAAAATCAGAATTCAACCACTAAATCAGGAAGTCATAAATCCCTGACCATCAAAACTCAGAATTACTATGTAAATAAGATGCGAGGGTAGTTGGATGCACATTGGGGTTAAACATTCATCAACTGACCAAAGAATCTTATATTGTACATGGATTCCAAAACCATTTGGCAATATGAAATCTTAGTATCATCCAATAGAAGATTAATGGCAACAAGCATATACCATGTTATCCAAATTATCATCTTCCATTCTGGATCTTCCATTTAGATTCACCTCTAAATCAACCCCATCTTGATCCTGTACAGAAAGCACTAAATTAGGAAAAGCACGAAAACAAAAATTCATGTAAAGAAATGAATTGAAATTGATTAATATATTTCAGCCAAAAAAAGTAGATAAGATAAAGCACAAATGGACTACATATAAGGTTAAAGTTGAAAGGGGTATTGACCTACAAACAAAGATCAACAATGTAAGTTGTATTTTAGAGGATTTCTCTACCTCTTTTTGTTGCCTGAGCCGCTTCAGATAAGTTGACTGTTTTTTACGGAGCTCCATTGACAGGTTCTGAAGGTCAGTAGCAAGTGAGCGCTGAAAAAAAAGAATGTCGAGATAAGCCCAAATCACCAGAATGATGCCTTATTTTGAGAGAATGCTAACTGACATATTTTTTATGTGAATGACAGAGTTCACAGCTCCAGAATGAACCTCAAAAGTAACAAACTTCTGGCAGTAACTACAATCCCTGTGCACAAGGAAATCTTATGTCCCAAAGTCTTACCTGTACATTTTTCCTGATATTTGAATCCTCAGAGTGCCCACCTGCAGAGAGTTTCTGTAATCTCTTCTCTGATTTCTTCAACAGATTTGTTATTTCCTGTGTGAGAGCCTCAATATTTCGCTGATCTTCTTTACCATCACCAAAAGAAGGCATTAAAGCCTTTGCATAAGCTTTAGTTAACTCAGCCATTTTTGCCTGTGCACGTTGCACATTTACTGCAATTTCTTCGGATACATCCACCCAAGCTGGTGGCAGACCCACCGTAACTGCACCCTTGCTGCAGAGGACATACAAACAGTTTTGTTATTTTTATTTTCCTAATATAGACTCAGATGGAAAAATGCATGTCATAAAGGTAAGATAAGCTAGGTATGGGTGACAGAGAAATCTAACTCTAGAGGAAACCAAATAGTAACCTACATATCCATTCCCTCCTAAAGATGGCTGATGGATGTCCCTGAAAGGAAATCATTTTCCTTGTTTGTCAATAGGTATGACACAGATCACTCCTTACTAATTACTAAAACATCCAGTAACTCCTTCAAAGTGACCATAATTGTAAGATGTATTTTTAAGATCCTAGGAGAAAAGCCATTCAGATACACAGCTGCAACAATGTTCTAAAAATCTACAGAAAAGTATAAAAGATTTTGCAATTTTGAGGACTGCAAGAGTCCAAATATGTTGATTGCATTCCAAATCTATAATTATTGACTCAGTTGATATTCTAAGTACCTTACTCTTGCTCTTGCCTCACCTGCTGTGAATTATTTTCCCAATTGGTCCTTCCAACCAATAATCTTTCACCTTATAACTGCCAATCACTGTAAGAAGCCATGAAAGATCTTTATATCTCCACAGTCCAACTCATCCCAAGAAAGCTTCTTTCTTTACTAACTTTGTACTAGAAGCCAAAGCAGAAGTATAATACTTCCCATGATCTAATTCACATAAAGGACAGACCACTGACATCCACCGAACTGATCCCCCAAAAGAAACATTCAAAGACCAACATACAAGATCAACACATTCATTAACAACATTGACCAATGCAAGTTACAAACTCCAAACAAAAAGGATTGCAATTATTCACATATGATTGACACAATCAAAGCAAACAGCACCATACATTGCGAATTTAAAACTACAGCATCAACAATTCCAAATGCGTTCTTGCAATTGCTATATCCAAAATGACCTATCTAATTCCAATCTACTTTGAATCAGACTTCTTGGGAACAACAGTTAATTCCATAAAAATTCAAAATTTGTACACCATTTGCCTCTTCACAAATTTAAAAACTAGAAATTCATCTCAATTGAGCTAACTAATGGCATCATAACCAAATCCAAGAGTAACAGGAGGACAATCAGCTCTGATCTCAATCTTGCAATAAAATTTCCAAAGAAACTGCAAGAATAAATCCACTCCTACCTTGAATTTCCAGGATCCTCGGTACTAAGAGGAGCATAAGACCGATTCGGATTGAGAAGCGAAGTGCTGACCAGCTCAATCACTGGACCTCCGCCTGAGCTCGTTGTCCGTTGCGATGCCAACGCCGACGACGAGCTCGTTGGAACTCTAACGCTCTTCAACGCATCCCTGTATTTCCTATACAGCAGCGTCCTATTCCTCGTCGCCATAGCCACAAAAAAAAATCCTCAAATCCAAAAACAAAAATCGAAATTCGGATTGAGATTTAGATTCCCAGCTTCAGATCTGACAATGGAGGTTCTCTCATGGCGTGGCGAAGTTAGTGAAAGAAAGTAAAAAACGAAATGACAGAAAGTGAAGGAATCTCGGGGGTTCGTGGTGAGGAGAGAAACGGAGAGAAGGAAGGGAAGAAAAGAGAGACGGTCACGTGACCGAGGGCGGTGATTGGCGGTTGAAGGTGGTTAAACGGACGGCGAGTCACGTGCCGGCGATGCTGGAATTGCTTCGTTTCCGGATTCGTTGAAGAGAACAGAAGAGACGAGGAAATATAACAAAAGGCCCGTTCTCTTATTTTGGGCCGTGTAGTTCCTTAGCCGGATCAATATAACAACAGCAAAAGGCCCGTTCTTTTCTTTTTTTAAAAAAAAAATTTTTACGAGTAATCAATTTTAGTTGACATGAAAAAATTATTTCACTACATATCAAAAAAAATAATGGCAATTTTATCAAAAAAAAAAAAAACTTTATGAGTAGAAGTGTTATTCTATAACTGAAGTTCAGAATTTTTGAACGCATGAAATTAGTTTAGAGGGGAAATTTTCTTTAATATACTAGTTTAGAATTTAAAATTACTTATAAATAATTATGTGTAAATCCCATGAAGACCTCTTAATAGTTTTGGAATTTAAATTTCTATATTATATGATTTATTATTTAATATATTAAAAAATAATTATATATAAAAATAATTTTATTTTTAATTCTAAGTTGTAATATATTACTCTCTCACAGTCTCACCTCATCCTATATGTCAGGAGAAATTTTTTTTTTGGATTTTTTTATTTTAATTATATAATAAAAAAATAATTATTTTTTATTTTTTACCACATATTACTCACGTAACATGGTATTTAAATTTAAATTTTTTTATTTTTAATAAAAAATTATCACTAAATTATTTATATCATTAATAAAAATAACAATAATTTTAAAAAGTTAATAGTATTAATAAAAAAATTAAAATTTGTTTACATATAAAATGTAGAGCATTCTTGAGATAAAGACGACAATTATACTGGAGAGAAGAATGGTAAGAAACTGTTAAGTGAAAATTTTGTTTTTCGGCCTTTGCCAATATTTTTATTTAAAAAGTAATTTTCAGTAAGTAAAGAAACGTTAAGAATAATATAAATGCAGGAGAAAAAGGCATAAGAAATTCCTCTTTTGACGAAATTCACCTGGGAAGAGAAAAAAGCAGCTCTTCTTCCTCCTCACAGTCCTCATCATCGCTCTCCCTCTCATCAAGCGGCCTCCAGAAAACCTAACCTCTCTTTCTCTCTCATCTGTCCTTGGATTTCCTATTCCCTGAATTTCTTCTTGAATCCAAGATCAGAGCTGGAAGTATCGGTTGCGAGCTTCAGATACTGTTTGTCTTCCTGAATTTTGCAACCTCAGATCGGAATTTGCTTCATAAGAGAGGTAATCGAAATGGATGCCGATTCGTGGAGTGTTCGTCTCTCGTCTGCCTCAAAGAGATATCAGTCAGCTCTGCAATCGCGATCTGGTAAGCTCAAAGAATCTCTTACTTTTTTTTGGATTTTTTTGCTGTTTGGTTGCTGAGAAAATGTTGGAAAAGAGTGGAAACTTGGTGTATGAGAAGCTAGCTTTTTCTTTTATTTTATTTTTTTAATTGTGTTGGTTTATTTTTAGTAAGGGAAAGGAAATAGCTCGAATTAATTGAATTTCATACAAATTATGCGGGCAATTTTATTAAGACGCACGAAAGTGTTTGACTTGTACACTGACTGGATGAAAAGTAAAAGAAAGGAGATGGATTTATTTTTTAAATGGTTAAGGCAACTGAGCTTACTGCAATAATAAGACTGGAAGTTTGTATTATCGTATATGCTAAAGCTTCTCCTGCAAATTATGTGTTTGGTTGCCAAGAAAATAAAGGATAGGGAAGTGAAAGAAATTGAGGATAGATGGAGTCAAACTTTTAATTTGTGGATTGGAATATACCTTGTAGTAAGTTTAGATAAGTACATGAGTGATTGCTGCAAGAGTAAATGGAAGCATTTGGAAAGTGTGTATGGAACTGTAGCTGTACGTTTATGTTCTGTTCATCGCCAAGAAAAAATGGAATTATGTCTGAATTGATAAGTTAAATGTTAGACACAATTGATAGAGTTAAAGAAACATATGGTTCTTTTTTTTTTATTATTGTTTTACCTCACTAGTCAGCAAGCTAGTGAGGGCTTAGGATTTTTGTGGTACATGAATAAGGGTTACTGTCTTACTTGCTCACTTGGTAAAATGATTTGGAATTGCAGATATGCTTATGGGATTTGAAGAAATGGATGGAGATGATGATATAAGGGAAGAATTTCCATGCCCATTCTGTTCAGAGTATTTTGACATCGTTGGGTTGTGCTGCCACATAGATGATGAACATCCTGTGGAGGCAAAGAATGGGGTATTTCTCCCTCATTTTCTGTTTGATACTCACAAACAGATGTTTAGATTCTTCTTTGGATTTGGTTCTTTTTCCAATGATTATCCAGTCCTGTAATTCAGAATGCAAGATGCTTATAAACAATGATTATTAATTACTAATTAGTATAAGTTCTCAATCTAACTTGGGTGATTATGTTTGTATATTTAAGTGATTGGTTAATTAAGAATTTGGAACAAACAAGCATAGTTCATTAAACAAACCACAGCTTCAGATTCTTCCTGGTTGGTTTAAATGAAAAGGGTAAAGGATTTTGTCTATTATGATATGATGCTGACATAGCTCTCTAGAAAGAGAGGATTTACTGTCCTCAGGGCTGGTTGGGGTGCATTTCTAGCACTTTTAATGGCATGACCTGGTATCTTTCAGTTTTCTTTCTTTCTTTCTTTCTTTCTTTCTTTC